TGTAGTCGATTTGATTTCTGTATTTACCATTTGGCAAAATCGACCAGTTTATTTTCTATTTATGTTGTTGACAAAGATATGAATAAAGAACAAATGGAAACAGTAAACACAGGGAGGAAATGAGCGTAGTCCTATTATATTGTGAGGTTTGCAATCAATGTTACAAATAAAAATCTGAGTGAATTGAATGGATAACCTATTTTCTCAGTATACTTTCACTCATATCACAAACAGAAAAAATTCTATCATGAGAACTCCAGCATTATTTGTAATACCAAAGTCATGTCTTCTAACTACTGATCCTACTTCGTTTCCAACTCACGTTCAATCACCAGTGTAAAAAGAACTAGAGCAGTATGACAACAGCAGAGTGTGACCTCTACTAACGCCACAAGGGGGAACTGTCCCCATCAACAGCATCCACAACATACAACCAATTCCTGTGAGGTCAGACATGGCCCCCACACTCACTTCTGCTTCTAACAATTCTTCTGAAATACTAATAATTCTCACCAGGATCCAAAAGCCATTGACATAGCTATACTTCTAGAACCATAGTCACAATTATGAGGTTTACTAGGGAAGTTAACAGCTTACAATTCAAATTGGCAACAGGATACAATTTCTCAGTCAGGATGCCTCTGAATCAGGGTTGTAGTTGCTGGTCCTTCAAGCATTCAGTATTGTGGTTTTAGGCCAGTTTTGCAGAACTTAGTCCTTCCAATTATGGTGTCTCTTCCTCAAGTTTAAGCTTGGGCAAAGACCTCTGACTCTGATTCCCTAGGGCAACAGTCCTAGATGAGGTCAGAATCATGTCAAGTCTCTAGTTCTTTTGTGTGACTGCTGGTGTTTTCCTATTTACCTTCTGGTTGGCAGAGAGATTTCTGAATTCTCTACTGCTGCTGCTTCTTTGCTGGCTGTGTTATTCCCCCAATTTCTGCTGTTGAATCTGCTCAATTTAAATCTAGTGGAATAGTGAAACTAGCCAATGCCCTTGTAGATAGATGGACTAACATATTCTATTTGCATGCTCCTGTCCAGCCATGTGGCAAAATCAGAGACAATTGCCTAGAAAAGTCATTTGAACAACAGACTCACTACACCACAATCAGTAATTATCAATGCACTTTTATTGCATTTTAAATCAATTTTGCACTGCATAAGCTGGTAAAAATTTTCAGTGTTTCATCTTTAATATTAGTGATTGGTCTATTAATTTGAAGACAATCGGTTTTCCTTGTCAGTGTATAGATGTTGTCCTATCACTGACAGCTGTGTACCTCTCTAAGTTGTTGTGTACCATAAAGTAATAACTGACCCATAGTTGACCCTCCAGCAGGTTTTCTGAGGAGGAGACTGCCCATCCTTCTCCTACGAAGCAGCTGGTGGATCTGTGCCTTCAGGATTGCACTGCAGCTTCTTACCATCCGGGCACCAGAGCCTCCTCCCTATCTATATAGATCTTGATATGCTTTATTTGATAATAAAGATGATGTCATTCCTCTCCAGTTTGCTTTTTTTTTTTAATTTTTTTTATTTTCTTTTTTATTATTTTTGTGTGCATGTATCGTCAAATCAGATCTGACTGGTACAGGAGGAGATTGTCCCTCCTTCCCTGGCAGAGCATCTGGTGGATTCGAACCGTTCGCTTCTGGGATTGTAGTTGCCAGTTTGCTATTTTAAGAACAGCAGATCATAAGTTTTTCCAGTTCAAAATGGCCAGTATCAGTTCATTTCAGCTTATTAAAGTCTAGGATATCAATCTTTATGTGTACCATTTAATTTCTGAGGACTTCTAATTTCCTAGATTCACATTTTGTACAGCTGATATTCTAATTATTAATGGATGTTTGTGACTGTTTCTTCTGAGTAGTACTTTAATAGGGTAAATTAAAGAGATAATAGGGTAATTAAAGAGATCTATTTGTTAACTCAATTAGCTCCACTTGCAAAAGGTTTGCGTTTTCCTGATCTTGCACTACGTGGTTTTGGTTATAGGAACCCTCTCTATGGCTTTTCCTGTACCAACATTAAACATAGTGTAAAAGTCCCACAGAGAGTTTTCAAAACTGTATCTTCAAATTTTTCTCCTATGGAGGCACTGTTAGGTTCAAACCACTGGGCTTTAAGTTAGTAGCAAAACACGCAACCCTGAGCTATCAGGATTTCTCATTTGGGGGGCTTAGCCCTTTACAAATAAATAACACAGTTTAAGAGGAATTGCCACACAATTTACACTAAATGCAATGAACTCAGAAGAAACGTCTATCAAGACAAATAAGCATTCAGTATTGACAAACCTACTCCTTGGAGACAAGGATTTTGAAGCTCTGTCTGACATACTTTGGGCATCTTGCAAGGAAGGATCAGTCCTTGGAGAGGGACATGATGCTTGGAAGGTCGGAGATACAGTGCAAGAAATAGACTGATCAGACGCAGACGAGATAGACTGACTCAATGACTGGGGTAATGGAGGTAGGAGTATCGAAGACAATGAAATTGGCTCAAGATAGAGCAGAGTGCAGACTGTTGTACATAGGGTTGCTATGATTTGGAGCCCACTCGAAGACACCTAACAACTAACAGGTAACGAAGAGAAGGACAGGTGTACATAAAAACTATCCTTTCTGAGGGTGGACTCCAGCGCATAGCTCAGGGACTAGGAGAATCGGTTCATATCAACCCTTTGCTAAAGCCCAAAACATGTCTCTTAGCCAAGGAAAGGAGATGTGTCCTAAAAAAAAAAATATATGCGGAGTCCCGGAGCTGCAGCTGCAGAGTCAGGATTTCGCCGCCTCGCGCCACCGAAGCCCGCCCGACGTGCATTCCCGGTACCTTCCTCATCCAAATCCAGTATGGCTACTCTCAAGGATCAGCTGATTCAGATTCTTCTTAAGGAAGAACAGACCCCCCAGAATAAGATTACGGTTGTTTGGGTTGGTGCTGTTGGCACGGCCTGTGCCATCAGTATTTTAATGAAGGACTTAGCAGATGAACTTGCACTTGTTGATGTCATGGAAGACAAATTAAAGGGAGAGATGATGGATCTCCAACATGGCAGCCTTTTCCTTAGAACACCAAAAATTGTGTCTGGCAAAGACTACAACGTAACTGCAAATTCCAAGCTGGTTATTATCACAGCGGGAGCACGTCAGTAGGAGGGGGAAAGCCGTCTCAATTTGATCCAGCATAATGTGAACATCTTTAAATTCATCATTCCTAATGTTGTAAAGTACAGCCCAAACTGCATGCAAGCTGCTTGTTGTTTCTAATCCAGTGGATATCCTTACCTATGTGGCTTGGAAGATCAGTGGCTTTCCCAAAAACCGTGTTATTGGCAGTGAATGCAATCTGGATTCAGCGAGGTTCCGTTACCTAATGGGGGAGAGGCTGGGAGTTCACGCATTGAGCTGTCATGGCTGGGTCCTTGGAGAGCATGGAGACTCTAGTGTGCCTGTATGGAGTGGAGTGAATGTGGCTGGTGTCTCTCTGAAAAATCTGCATCCTGAATTAGGTACTGATTCAGATAAGGAACAGTGGAAAGAGGTTCACAAGCAGGTGGCTGACAGTGCCTATGAGGTGATCAAACTGAAAGGCTATACCTCCTGGGCCATTGGACTGTCTGTGGCAGATCTGGCAGAAAGTATAATGAAGAATCTTAGGCGGGTACATCCAATTTCCACCATGATTAAGGGTCTTTATGGAATTAAAGATGATGTCTTCCTTAGTGTTCCTTGCATCTTGGGGCAGAATGGAATCTCAGATGTCGTGAAGGTGACACTGACTCCTGAAGAAGAGGCCCGTTTGAAGAAGAGTGCAGATACACTTTGGGGAATCCAAAAAGAGCTGCAGTTTTAAAGTCTTCTGTTGTACCATTTCACTGTCTAGGCTACAAAAGGATTTTAGTTGGGGGTTGTGCATGTTGTCCTTTTTATTCAGTCTGATTAAAGCAGTAAAATATGACATAGGAAAAACATCCGTTTCCTAAAGGTAGACATAGGAATGGTCCATAAAACCCTACAGCTATGTTCTGGTGGTGGTTGGTACTTACCTTGTGCAGTTCTAAATTGGTTAGTATAATAGAATTCCACCACGTCTCAGAAACCACTGCCAATGTTGCACATGCTGCAACTGCCCTTCAAACTAGAATGTTTACTGTGTTAAATAACTTTGGCCTAGTATAAGCTTTTTATTTTTTAGTCACATTCTGTGCTCTAATGAACAAATTCAATATTGCATGTCTTGTACATTATTGTTCTAAAGGATCTTATTTTGTGTACTATATTTATCAGAGTAATGTATAATGCAACTCTGATAATGTGATGTAAAATGTAAAGATCTACATATAAGCATTGCAACAATATCATACCAACTAAAACACCAAATAAACCATGAACAGTGCCCCCCCAAAAAAAATATGCAAGGGGAACTCTGGTGGCCTAGTGGCAAGACACTGCACTGCAATCCCAGAGGCGCACGGTTCAAATCCACCAGATGCTCTGCCGGGAAAAGGAGAGACAATCTCCTCCTCTAACAGTCAGATCTGTGATTTGACGGTACACACACACACACACACACACACACACACTAATAAAACAATAATAATAAAAAATAAAAAATATATGCAAAACAAAGACTATGTCATAAGTCCTCGATGTCTGTTTCCTTTTCAAGCAATGATTCAAATTACTCCCCTCCGTGGCGCCCCAGAATTTCCAGCTAGGAATCCCACCATCCTCTCCTATTTCCCTGCGGTTCGGGACACACTACACACACTTTAAGTTGTGTTATGAGTCAAGGGCCGTTTCTTCTGAGGTCCTAAAACTAGATTCTGAACCTAGGGCCGTTTCATTTGAGGCCCTACCACTCAGTCCGTATTTTCAGGTCCATTCCCATAGAAAGTGAGACTCTTGTTTCTACCCACTCCCGACCAATTGTGAACCTGAGCCCCAGTCTCACTACTGTCCTCGTCCTCCCCTGCTCAGGATTCCTTCACTCACCAGGTCTCCACCCCCCATGACAGCGGAGACGTTTCCTCTCAACGCAGGACCGGAAGAATCAGGAAAGATTGAAAGGAAATGTAGAGAACAATTCAAGTACGACCTCCCAGAGGATGATCTAGGAGGTCTGACACTGATCCAGAGGCCACTTCCGGGATCGCGTCCTATTTCCGCGACGGCGTCGCCTAAAGATGACGTTTCCGCGTCGCGTTATATAATGAGAGCGTTACGTGTATTTCGTCGAATTTGAGGCCTTTGTGGTCGTGTTTCGACGTGCTAGGGTCTGTACCAAAACTGATCTCCTTGTCTGTCCGTTTAAAAGCCACAGTTCTGTCAGTTACAGGCACAGTGGCGCCCTCCCCGCGGTTGTCGCCGACAGTGCACTCTGGCGTCTGTCTCAAAGCTCTGTTCAGCATCTTCTCTGGTAAAACTCCATTGTGGACGGACGAAACCTGCCCTCCTCGGCCCTCAAGCCTTCCACGTTCGCACACCCAAAAGCGGCTTTTCAGGCCCTGATCTGTCTTTAAATAAACTTCAACCCATAACCATTCCCTGTGCTTAAGGCCTACTTTACGAAGGTAAATAAACTCCAGCAGCTTCTGTTTACTCAACCAGCAAAATATGCCAGTATCCTTTTCTTTAGGTTGTAGTGGAAGAGGCGCCCCACCTACAACCTAACGTTTGATCCCATACTCACAATCTCAGTCTCGGAGACTACCCTCCCTGCTACTCCATTCCTTCTTGCCTGTCTCTCCAGTTTCCCTCCATAATGGCTTTTTGTCATCAGTGTTTTAAACATACTCCTTTTATCTTTTTTAAAAAGCAAAGCAACACCAAAACAAAACAAAACAAAACCCAATTCATCTCTTTCGTCAACTTTTAAAATAAACTTAATAACCAAGTCAAATCAAGTTACCTCCACTTGGGACTTGCTTCCAGTTTATTTCCCCTTACCTTCGTTTTTCCACCGAATGATTCACTTCATCTTCCATAATCTTTGTATTTGAATCCTTTGAACTTATTTCATCCTTGTCTTGACATCCCTTAACCTTTGGTAGTACTACACACCTTTTACTCAACTCTAAGGAACCTAACAACAACATCAAACCAGTACACAAGAAACAAAGAGATGTTCCTTTCTCTGAATAATCTTATGCTACAAATAGAACATTTAGCATGTGCATCCAAAAGCAAAGTCCAATCAAGAACAAACCATCACGTTGCAGCAATCAATAATAACTCACAACATAGAACATCTTCTTGGGTTCTGGTCAACTCATCTCATGCCATTCATGGCTAGATCCAAATGGGCATCAACAAACTGAGGAGTTCACACTTCTTGTGTTCCAGACAGACTTAGCCCCCACATGGAGCCAAGTCAACAAGCCAGCATGTTAGGTCAACAGTGCTAATGGAACATGTCCACACTCAGCCTGTCTCTTCATTGTTGCCTGCCACCTAATTCCATTCCAGTGGATCCAAGTGGTGACAACATGTGAGCACAGTCACTCATGGTTCCTTAGAAAGGGCTCCAATGGGTACCAACTTTACTCATCTATAAGCATACTGCTGTTGTTGTTTACCATACAGTCAGAATTGATCCAAAGCTGACCCTCAAAGCAGGTTTTCAGAAGCAGTTAATCATACAGGAAACTGTCCATCCTTCTCCCGTGAAGCAAGCTTATAGCCTTGAACTTCGTGCCTTTGGTATTGCAGCAGAGCTTCTTGCCACTAGGCTGCCAGAGCATATAAGCATAATACTATCTATTCTGCAGAGTTGTGAGAATTAAATAGTGTTTGTAAGTCTTCTCATGTGTTCTTGAGTTCAACAAATGAAAACAGTTCTATCTGCAATATTACCCACATTCACTCCTCCAGGGCTTCAACCTTAATGACACCAAAGATTTGAAGTTTCCAAAAGGCAATGGTGCTGTAGTTTTGTGGTGTGAAATATTTGAAGATAGAAGTCCTCTAATTCATTTTGACTCCTAGTGCCTGCATTTGATAAAGTAGAATTGCCCCATAGCATTTGATTGCCAGTCTTTCTCTCAGAGTAGCTAGGTTTCTTTGTAAATTCTGATTATTAATGGGTACTTGCTATTTCCCCTAATTTGGAGTTATGCCACATCAGTAAATAAAGGACCTTCATTGGATTGAAGCTTTCTTCTATCTACATCATTAAGGAAGACTCTAAAGAGGGAGCTGTGGTAGCATAGCCAGCAGGGAGTTGCCCTAACCCAAAGGCCACGACTCTCCGGCAGCTTCAGTCTACCAGAGGCTCCATGAGAGAACCATGACAGACTCCTCTCCTGTGATTTACAGCCCTGGAAGACCTACAGGAGGGTCACTTTTGTGTCAGTTCCAATTTGATGACAATGATTTTGAGTCTACTTTAGGCACATTCCTCCTTTCCAGTTGAATTTTTAATGCCTTCCAACTTGAAGACCTTATCTTTTCTATTATATCAGAGAAGATTCTCCCACTATTCATAACATTTTCAATGGCCCATTATTTCTGAGGTGAACAATCAGGCCGACTTCCTAGTCTGTCTTAATCTGGGAGCTCTGCTGAAGCCTATCAAGCACGAGTTTGCTGCCATGTGAAATACCAGTGGCACAACTTCCGTATTACAGCAACATGCAAATTGATCCAGTATGACAAACTGACAGATGAATGATGGCAGAACTGCTGGATGCATTCAAAAGCTCAATCTTTTGGTTAACAACCAAGCTCTTAACCATTGCACCATCAAGATGCTTTTCTTTTTCCTTCCTTCCTTCCTTCCTTCCCTCCCTCCTTCCTTCCTTTTTCTTGATAGAATTAAAACTGCAATATTGTGTTTACAGCCTTCAAGTTTAATCTTAAATTTAGAATTCCCTGAAGGTCTTTGTCTTAACTGAAGCCCTGAGGGATGGAGTGGGGGATGAATAATGTAAGAGTCCCATCAGTAGCCATTTAGAATATAAAGCAGAACCAGTATTTCAGGACAAGGATAAGATGAAAGTTTCTTGTCTTCTCCAGGTGACTAAGGAAGAAGGGCTATTTACTCTCAATTAGGCAAAAAAAAAAAAAGCTAGGCACTCGGATTTGAACCGGGGACCTTTTGATCTGCAGTCAAATGCTTTACCCCTGAGCTATACCCCCAAGGCCTATAAGGTTCTTCTGACTTGTCCATTTATGGTGACTCAATACAAACAGGTTCCACCCACACTGGAATTCCGGTGCGCTTGTGTTCTAAAGCTCCACCTTCTTTTGTATCTATCATTTACTTTGGCTTTTCTCCTGGTCACTAATAAATTGGGTGGGGGCACCTGCAAAGTGACAGCCTGAAAACTAGCTAAAGGAAATTATCATTGCATAATGTATTTCATTTCAGTCTCCAACTGTCAACAAGCATATCATCACCAGGTCAGAATCTGTGTGCTAAAAAGCATCATTTGATGTAACCTTGTTAACCTCTTGTCTTTTTATAAATTTAGAAAGAGAGGGGTAGTTATTTTGGGTAGGATAATCTAGTCTGGAAAAGCAAGAAATCTTAGGGCAGCCAGTGCCAATCTCTAAAGTTGCATAGCCTGCTGTATTCTTTTTTTTTTAGCCTGCTGTATTCTTGATGGGAATTGTAGCCAATGTCTGATCTGAATCCCTGTTGGGATCTGCAATGTGCTACTTGAAGGCTAAGAAGTAATGGTGGTTCTTAACATGATGATAGAAGGTAACTGAGACCCCTTCTTTCAAGCCTGGCAGTGTCTAGCACACAGTTTAAGGATTTAGTCCTGAGAAGTTCATTCACCTCTCACCTCATCTCTTCTTTATAGGATAGAGAAGCTGAGGCCAAACAACTAGCTCAATCCCCTCCCTCATTCAGGAAAAAAACTGCACACTTAGAGGTACAGATAACTTTTTTAATAGAAAATAATATTGAAAATCCATCTTAATGGCATTCTTAGATATTCATATTGAGGGTTGAAGAAATACTGTTAGAAGAGAGGGAATTGGGTGACCTCTCCAAAGACGGATGTGCGTTGGCGGAGGGCTGGGGTGTTCCGGCGGTAACCAAAATAACCATTGAATCCCTTGAACAGTTTCAGATCTGTATTGTAGTGATCATGCCCGGATACCTGCTCGAAGGAATGCCCTTGGGGAGAGAGACAAAGGCTTGAGCTTGTATTCAGACTCCTTTTTACTTTCTCAAAGAGGCTAAAGTCGGATGCCAACCCAACTAGAATCACTGTGGTCCCACATCTGAACCTTCAGTTCTTAAATGTCCTGAGCCTACTGCAGAAAAGGGATTTGAAAGTTCTGGGCTTCCTGAACTTGCCTTGCTCCAGAACTAAGAAAATCTCACAGTTGCCTCTAACCCATCTGGAGAAAATAGATGAAAACAATTTAGCCAAATGGTGCAAAGGAAAATATAACCAGCAATATGGCAGAAATAGGATCTCTCAACCCTCCTTTCTCCTTACTGCTAAATCAGGCCTGGAAAATGAGCAGAACCCAGCTTGCACAGAGCAACAAATGGAGCACTAGACTTGGAAAGAATGGAATTGGAATCCAAGCTCAGCTCCTGACAAATTATGTTAAATTCCTAAACCTAAATGTCCTTTTTTTGCCAGCTATAATCTACGGAAGAAGGTCAGTGCAGGAGTGGAAAGGCCCTGGATAAAATGGTTTGACACAGTGACTGTGGCAATGCGGACAGATGTGTCAGTGATGGTGAGATTGGCTTAGAATAGGGTAGAGTTCAGAGCTCTTTTTCACAGGGTTGTTATGAAACACAAAACAGTAACAATAACAATTTGGGGAAAGTGTCAGAGTGAAAAGCACCTGACAAAGAGTAACAATTAGGGAACACTGGCACTGTCTTCTCATGGATGAGAAGAAAAGTAGAGGATCCAAGTTCCTAGGTCTCTACCCCATTTCCAGACCTGTCTATCACCCTGCTGGTCTATCTGAACTTTGAGATGTAAACCACTCTTCCTTGGTTAACCATGGGATGAAGAGCTTCCTAGGTGGCACCGTGGTAAGGCTGTCAAGTGGAGGAGTACTTGCCTGCCCCTGCCCAGTTTCTCCTGTTGAGATATCTTTGTCCCGGCCCAAAGATGTGGAAATAATCCACTATCCAGCCATCCCTTCCTGTGCCACCATGATCCTGAGGGTGAGAGAAAACACAGAAGAGATGATCAGTCTTGGTGCTGAGAGGTGCACAGCACTAGGGAACTCAACTAGACATTAATTATACATATTGACTTCTGTCCTAGTCATGGAGAAGTCACCTCGTCTGGCAGTTCCTAAGTCAGACTCTGCTGCCAGATATACAGAGTACCAGTTCCCAGTCACTCACTAACAAGCTGCCAGGCAAATTGTCATTTCTATGGAAAATTACACAGCTTTAATAGGCCTCATTTTCTTCACTAATAAAGTGAGGGCTGCTGTGAGACTTAAAGAGGTTGTTCAGGTAAAGGGCCCAGCATTGTAATTAAAATCTTTTATTTGAATGCAAACAATCCTTACCATAAATAGCAGTTGTACAGATTTAAAAAATGCTTATAAAATTGAATGTGGAAAAATAAAAAAATATATTAAGGTTTCTAAATATTCAAGTTCTTCCCGTCTTACCCCAGATTCTGGCTTTTTGTGTATCATTATTTGAGTGACAATGGGTAATGGTATATGGTACACACAGATTGTGTGTCCACATTTATATGCTACACACAAATTCCTAAGACTACAAAGCACACCAAGGTTTGCTCACTGAGCAACTATAACCCCCAGTCTCTCTCCACAGCATTCACAAGCTGTCACTGTTGTTTGCCATCATGTTGATTTAGTCATAGAAACTTCAAGTGACAGGGTAGAAGTGCTTTACAGGCTTTTCATCACTGGTTAAGTGATGCCCTCCCAATCCAAAGGCATGGGTTCAAATCAATCAGCTCTCCACTGGAGTGCAATTCTGTGTTTCTGAAAAACTGCTGGAGGATTAGCTATGATTTGACTTGGAAGGTCCATAAGAACAACAACAATAAATTTTATGAAGGGAACCCTGAAAAAAAATTTAAAAGAAGGGAGCCCTCATAGCGCAGCCCACAAGTAAGTAGTTGAGGTGGAGCCTCTGGCGATTTTAACCCACCAGTGGCTTAATGGAAGAAAGATGAACACTTTCCTCCTCCTGCTATTTATAACCTCAGAAAACCAGTTAGAGGATCAAGTATGAGTTTACTGGGCACTGAGTTATGTTCAATCTTTAAGAAGCTGCTCACCAGGGTTCCAACCATCAATCTTTTAGTTAGCAGCAAATCACTGAATCATTAACATACAAATAATGATAGCAAAAAAATAATGCAATAAAAGCCCGGGAATCAACAAAGAACTGTCTCTCAATCCTACTGAAGAACTGAGCTAGCAAGTGCACCAACACTGTTGGAGAAAAGGCCTGAGGGAGGTGAACTAGGGGAGCATGCCTCCAGGACACAGGAGACAGCAGAGCACGTCATTCTATGACATCACTGGATAGAGGCGGCTGGTCTGGAGGATTGAGTTAGGCCACTTTGTGTGATGTCATACAGCTTTCGCGTTTTAGGGGAGCTGCTGTGTCATAGTTGTTGAAAGGGCGGGCCAGAGACGTCACAAAAGACAATGGAAACCAAATTTGGGGGGAGAAATGGGTTTTGATCCTTGTTTCTAAGTTTGACAAAAATTCAAATGAAAGGTAAATTTCTCAACTTCTAGGGAGAAAAGTTCATTCTGTGGGTTCGGGGTGGGGGTGGGGAGGCTCCATGGGAAAACTGAGATGAGAATGGCGACTCTCCGCTGGGAGAGGCCTAGAGTTCAGAATTTCATTACTGGAAGTTGCCCTTCCACCGAAGCTGTGGGCTGAGAACCTGAGCCTCCAGCACTCCTGTACCTGTTCAGTTTTCCGCAAAACGGGTGGAACCACCGGGCTCTGGAAGTAGCGGCGGGCGTGGGAGTCGAGCTGCGCATTGTACGGGGGAATCGCAGACCAGAGCTTGGGCCTCGTGCGCTCATAGGAGCGGGCCACAGTACTCACGGCCACGCCGTCCAAGATGAAGCCCTTCTCCAACCGCAGGAAACAGCAGTCTGAGTTCTGCATCTCAACCCCTGTGGTCTTTTAGGGCAAGTGAGCGCTCTGGGTTGGGGCTTTACTCTTAACCTGCACGAATTGTTCCGTGACGCCACTGAGGACCTTAGCGACACAAAGGGTATTGTCTTCACACCCCCCCACCTCCCCCCCCCCCCCCGACCCGGAGCTTAGGGGGTAAAGCAGGAGATGGACCAATAAAGGAGAAGTTTGTGTAATCAGGCTGATTCTGTAAAATGAGAAAGCTAACGTTCTCTTCCAGTTTCCCCCACTCCAGCTCTCCCTTGAAAAGCTGTGCTCATAAGGGATCAGTCTAGACAGCATCTACCTCCGTTAATTTTAAGTAGTAGGGACCTCTGGCATCCTAATAGGTAGAGTTGTGCTCAACGAAAAAGCAGCTGGTTTTAAACGCCACCAGCTACTCCTGGGGAAAAAAAAGATGTGCAATCTCCCACACTATAACCTCTGTAAACTCAAAAGCTAGGGTCAGCTAGTATTTTCAAGTTTGTTATAGATCCTCAAGTTGGAGCTGACCCATAGCTGATCCTCCAGCGAGGTTTTCAGAGGCAGTAAAACACTGGTGTGATTGCCCACCTTTCTCCCCTCCAGAGTGGCTGGTGGATTGGAACAATTTGCCTTTGGGATGGCAGCACACTTTCTTACATTTTCAATGGGAATGTGAAGTTCATATTCCCCAAATCCAGTAGTAGGAATTAAAACATAGATCTCCTGACTTCCATTATCAGTCCACTCCAGCACAAAAAGTATTTATATCCAGATGAGGATGGCACAGGATTGCACATGGATCTCAATGTTATGTGCCGTTGAGTTGCTTGTGATTCATAGCAACCCTAAGTACAACAGCTCTGAACCCTGAGATCTAAGCCAACCTTACTTTCTCTGACACATCTACACTCATTACCCCAGTCACTGAGTCATTCAATCTCATTGAGGATCTTCCTCTCTTACACTCCTTCCACCCTTCCAAGGACTAGTGATCCCTCTTTGCAATATGCCCAAGGTATATCAGGCAGAGCTTCAGAATCTGTGCCTCCAAGAACAGCTTGGTTTCACCCACTCCGGGATGAACCTATTTGTTCTCCTGGCAGCTCCAGGTATATTCAGTACTCTTCTCCAGCATCAATTCTCCTTCTACCATCCCTAGTCATTGTCCAGCTCTCTGATGTTTAGCAAGTAACTGGATAATTATGGCCTGGATCAAGCACGCCTTAGTCTCCAGACTGACACTGTTGCTCTCCGGTACTCTGGAGAGGTCCCTGACAGCAGATTTTCCCAGTGCAATTCGTCTTTTGAATCTCAAAACTCTTCACCATCTATCATGATGCTGCAAATCGGTCCAGTAGTGAGAATATTTTCTTGATGTTGAGCTACAATCCATATTCAAGGCTGCAATCGGCCTTCTGCAGTAAATGTCTCAAGCCCTACAGTTTAGGCAAGCAAGGATTTATCATCTGCATAGTGCAAGTCGTTGAAGTGTCTTTCTTCAATCCTGATGCCACATCCCTCCTCAGAGGACAACCTCATGGATGAACTGTTCTGCATATAGATTGAAAAGCTGTTCTGCATATAGATTGAAAAGGTTATGGAGACAGGACATATCCCTGGTGTACCCCACATCCGATTTTGAACCATACGATCCTTGCTCTGATGACTGCCTCCTGCTCAAAGTATAGGTTTTGCAGTGTTCTGAGATTTCCATTCTTCTCAGACACAATTTAATGTCATCATTGGGCCAATAGGCAACATCATGACAGATAGGTAAGATTGAAAATATCAGCTATTTAATCTTGCTTGATACCAACAGGAGGTAAGATGTGGCAAGTCTGCAATCAGAGACCTCTCCAAATTGAGGAGCAATGGTGGCAGTTTGAAGACTAAAATGCATCATGGTGTGTTTTTTTTTTAAATTAATTTTTATTATTTTTGGTGTGTGTACCATTAAACCGGATCTGACTGGTACAAGAGATTGTCCCTCCTTCTCCAGTAGAGAATCTGGCGGATTTGATCCTTCTCCAGTAGAGAATCTGGCAGATTTGAACCATGTGCCTCTGAGATTGCAGTGCAGCTTCTTGCCACTAGAGCTCCCTATACCATGGTCTTTTTCAGTCACTCACCACACATCTGAGAGTTGGACAATAAAAAAGGAAGACAGAATTGATTCCTCTGAGCCAGGGTATGATGTACTTAATATTCAATGGACTACCAAAAAGACATGTTTTGAAGCAGCCACTTGCTCCTTGGGAGGCAAAAATGACAAAGCTTCATCTCCTATACTCTGGGCCACGTTCTTAGGAGTGGATATTCTTTGGAATCTACCATGGCATTCCATGTTAGCACTATGATGGATCAACAGAGATTGAGGTTGTTAACAGTTACAACATACACGGCTCCAAAGTCAACACTCTTGGCACCAGCAGTTAAGAAATCAAAAGACCAACTGCATTGGGTAAATCTGTCAGAGACCTTTCCAGAGTGCGGAGTATCAATCGTCAGTCTAGAGACTTCTGATCCAGACCATGGGGTCTTCGCAATTGCTTGCTATGCATCAGAGCTGGATAATGACCAAGAACTGATGCCTCTTGAGTTGTAGTGCTGGAAGTCTTGAACACACCATGGACTGCCAAGAAAACATAGGTCTATCTTGGAGAGTATAACCAAGCTTCTTGGAGGCTGATTTTGAAGTTACATCTTAACATTCTTGGGCATATGGCCAGGAGAGACCAATCCTTGAAGGATTTCTCAGAAGACCCCAATGAGATGGACTGACAAAGTGACTAGGGAAATGAGAATTTTGTGTGTCAGAGTCAGGACAGGGCAGGCTTCAGAGCTGTTGTACACATGATCTCAGAGGTGCAGGAGGGAACCTAACATACCTTGGGAAGGGATATCATGCTTGGACAAGTAGGGCAAGAGAGGAAGACCCTCAATCATATTAACATGGTGATTGCAACAATAAGCCTAATGTCTCAAAGACAAGAATGGCACAGGATAGGACAAGGTTCAGATCTGCTGTTTCTAAGGTCTCAATGACACCGAACACGAAAACCTTCACCTATGATTTGTACCTTTTCCCAGACCCTGAACACGCTACTCATGCTTTGAAAGTAAAGTTGACAATCTCAACACAACCAAGCAAAATTTAGCATGGTAACCATCTACACTTTGTCATAGTTTACACTAGTGGCTTATCTTATCCCTTCTGATACTTTGACTTGAGAGAACTATAGTCCTAATTAAGAAAGCTCTAGTGGCTTAGTAGTAAAGAGTTGCACTGCCAACTCAAAGGCAGATAATTCCAATTCACCTGCTGCTGTGGTAGTTTCAGCTAAGAGTTGGTTCAGACCCCACAGCATATAACAATACTCATTGCTCAAAAAAATCTAACAAAAACCTCACTGTAGGAAGTTAACTGTGACCATCTTCCAGAAATTTACAAAGCAATTTAGTATCTGTAAAACCTAGTAGGTTTTACACATATTAACTCATTTAAGGAACCCTTAAATCCGGGAGTGTTTTCTCCCATATATCTGCCTCCTTCCCACATTACCCCTATCCAGTCATCTCTCAATGTCTACCTTTCATCAGGTTATTAAAGAAACCTGATATACAAATACTCTGGTGTACCTGTTTATCGGCTGGGAGATGAAAATAACAGAAGACTGACAAAGGGAAATAAAAGGAGACACTGGGACCAAGGTGAAACCCACGGCAAAACCCAAGGCCCCATTATATATAGAAAACATTCTATTATTATGAAGTTTCTCACTACACAGCAAGCAGTTATCTAAAAAAAAAACAACAAAAAAAACCCATTTCAGTATAGTTAGAGCCCCATAATAATTTGCCTAGAAAAGCCTAACACACAAGAAACTTACCTCAATTTTCTGAAAGTTCTCAAGGACAGTAGCTTCCAGTTTCTACAAGCTCTTCACAGCTGGCTCTTCTGAATACAACCTGTTTTTCTTGGGGACACTTCTGCATGCTTGCCCAGCAAGATGCTTGTGGCTAGCTTAGACTACACATGCAGATGGCCAACCACCACACAGGAGCCTTCAGAGACCCTCACATGCTGGATTTGTTGTTGTCTTTAAGGTTTAGATGGTTTCAAGCGTGACATGAAGAAATGAACAGAGGGCAAGCACTGGTAGCAAATAATGTTTTAATTGGGTGAACTTTTTTTTTACAAATACATTAGAGAATCATGCAATGCTGCCAGCATTGGATGCAATCCTGGGCCACAGGTCTGCACACTCCTTTGCAACTGGTCCAGTGATGGCAGAACCTGCATTAAGAGAAGGGAGAGGAGAATCGTAAGTCAGAGGGTCCATTATCTGTACTTAACAGTCAATCAATCTGAGACCTAATGAATGACATGCACTGCTCACCTTTCATCTCGCCTTTATTGTTTACTATGACTCCTGCATTATCTTCAAAATAAAGAAACACCCCATCTTTTCTCCGGTATGATTTTCGTTGTCGTATTACCACTGCTGGATGTACTAAGAGGGGGGAAAGGACAAGGTCATCATAATTTGTCAAATTCCAGTATCACTACAAAAGCCATTCAGACTTGTCCAGCTTTCCCCATTCCTTCCCTTGTTTGGACAAAATGTATGTACCTGTCTTTCATCTTCTAAAAGCACACAAAAAATAGGGCAAACATTAAATCATTTAAGGAAAAGACCCTACTCGTGTGAAGTAAAAACTAACTACATTTCTCCCAAATATTAAAAATGTACTCTTGGCAAGCTCTGGTGACCTAGTGGCAAAAAGGTGTACTGCAATCCCAGAGGTGCACAGTTCAAATCCACCAGATGCTCTCCTGGAGAAGGAGGAACAATCTCCAGATCTGATTTGATGGTACACACACACAATTTTTTTTTTTTAAATACTCTCTTCTGGAAAGAGAGCAACACAACAGCAGGAAACCTGCTAAGTACTTTCTCACCATTTCATCTAATGTTGCTATGTACCATCCAATCAGAACAAAC